AACAGAAACACGGACCTGAGATTTCCGGTTTGATAGGTAACTGCAAAACCAGTTTACGTAGCTATCAGAAAGCCCAATAGCACTAAGCATATGAAGAAGAGAATAAGGGATGATGTCGAATGGATTGCTCAAATCAAAATAAATGGCTTCAGCTTGTCTGAGAGCCAACTATAGAGGAAATAAAATCATCATAAGTTACCATATTGGTGCTGGCAGATTTAGTTTTAGAGAAGCCACGCTGATAAGGACTAATTTTAGATGGGGAGCCTCAGTAGTAAATGGCAAATAATTGATATGCAGTGATTGGGGCTCAAATGAGAAGGGCAGTAGCGGTATGTTATAAGGTGCGACTGAAGAGCAGTTGGGCATGAAAGGGGCCAACAGTAATGGAGTTTGGAAATCAGTTTGAACTACGTACATGACCCCAAACACGTTCTCTCTTCGCCTTGCTCCTGCTTGCTTGCTTTCTCTCTGGACTGTATCAGAGTAACCATAGGATTGGTTCTAGACTCAAGAGTCGTTATGATCAGAGAGCCAGAAGCATTAAATAAGATTTCAGTTGACCAGTTATAAATAACATCCTGACTGTCCTGAAACAACAATTATATTGACTATGCAAGGACTCAAAATAGAAAATAGAAGAAACAATATTTTGGAAACTGGATCTGTTTCCATCCTCTGGTGGGGGGGAGACACCTATCCATTTTCAAAAACTTCTTGTCTTCTGTTTTCTAGAGTACCAGACAAGGGAGGGGGCATCCAGTAGTGTAGTTGGTTGAGGCACTATGCTACAAGCTGGAAGGTTGCAGGATCGAATCCTGATGAGTTGGATTTTTTCAATTGACGTATTCCTTCCAGCCGCACTTTGGCCCAGGGGTTGACTCAGCCTCTTAACAGAAATGAGTACCAGGAATATTCCTGGTACTCATTTCTGTTAGAGATGTGAGTACCACGAATATTCCTGGGGGTAAAGGCCAGCCGGTATGTAAGGCTAACAACCTCACCGCCATCTGTGAGCTGAGTGTCTAGAAAATGTGGGAGCCTCCACAGCCTGTTACAGGGATACCTTTACCTTTATTTTTTACCATACAATGGAAAAAGTAAAAAAACCCAGTAATTCTGTGTGTTATACACCACTGTCAGAACCCTTTAGAATCTATTAGCAGTACATTAGTTCAGTAAATGTGTTTTATGTGCTACTGTCCAGAAAAGCACATCCAAATTCTTTTTCCTTGATTCATCACAGTTTGCAAATTCTGCATGCCAGAAATCATTAGGTTTTGAGAAATCACCCAATGAAACTGTATTTTTTGTTGTGACCAAAGGATTTGTCAGGCTACCTAATTTTCAAAATATTTTCCACACTTGTACATGTGTATCTATAAATGATACCTCTAAAGATCCAATGTATTTGCATTAAGAAGGAATAACAGAAGTGTGCAATCATTTTAGTCATATCTAAGGAGAATATATATGACAATAGCACATTAATTATACTGGGATACATGAGCTTGAATCCACTTCTGGTAAATGGCAATATTTAATGGCATAGGCTATATGATGTGGTGAGCTTAGGTGTGGTCATTCCCAGACCCTCAGGTGGTCTCCTCTGCCTTTAGCCAGCCAAAACTTAACTGCACATACTTTTACTAACTTTGTCAGTATTTCTTAATTTTGAATTTAAAGATACAGTCCTTTTAAGAAAGAAAATATCTAAAAGAATAAATACATATATTAGTAGAAGAAAGAGGAAGAACTATCGTAAGACAGTTACTTCAAAGATACTAAAACCTACAATTTCAAAATTTTTGCCATTTAACTTCATGATTCTAACGCTTGCCACTCTCAGCTTTGCATGTAGCAGCATTAACTAGCAACAGAGCAGTCAACATCTGGCATGTTTTAGAGTTACCATGGCATGGGATGGGTCTTGTGAGGTATAATGGTATATGGGGACCTAATTGCTTTATGCTCTGCCCAGGCTCCCATAAACATCAGTACACCAACACATAAATCACAAGATCCTTCCTTATAGCATAATTGGTTGAGACATTATCCTACAAGCCGGAAGGTTGTGTGTCAGATTCCCGATGAGGTCTTTGGATTTTTCAAGTAACCTAACCCTTCCAGCAGCACTATAGCCCTGGGGTTGACTCAGCACCTAACACAAATGAGTACCAGGCATCTTCCTAGGGGTAAAGGGTGAATGGCATGTAAGGATCACAATCTCATCGCCATCTGTGAGCCAATTGTCTAGAAAATGTGGGAACCTCGATGTCCCACAACCCTATGGCCCTCCTTGACCTGTTACAGGGATAGCCTTACATTTCTTTACCTTCACTTTACATTATACTGGACCAGAATGTATTGCCAGTATTGAACAGAAGCATATCCTGTTATAATTCTTATGTATGTACTAAATTTTGAAACAAATATTATTTTCTCTGGACATTAGTTCCTACAATTTACACTTCACTCCTTTTGCCAATCTGAACAGCATACCGATACCATTTTACCAGTAACAAACAGTATAAACTTTAAGGATAAGGAGGTAGCTGAGAATATGTAGTGTACCATGGGAAGTATTAGTAACAAGGATTCCAATGTGTTTTCTTTTTCTGAAATGTGATTTTATTACAGTGTTCTAAAGATAAAGAATGTGACTTATCTACTTTGGCATAACATTTTGTACCAAAAAGCAAGTTTCTTTATTAAATATATTGCAGCTAACAATTAAAATGTACAAAATACTTAATGTGTTAATGTAATAATCACTTTAATACTGTACTGAAATATATTGTGCATGTAAAACATATTTTATTCGTAGATAGCATAATAAGACAAGCTGTCCTAAGATTTATCAGAAATAATAATTTGTTTTCACCTCAATTAAAACAGCTCATGCATAGGCACTTCCATTCCAACACATAACTGATAATACCCAAACATATATTACTGCGCAAATAAACCTTACAACAAACTAGAGAAACAGAACATGTCTTATTACAATTAAAATGAAAAACTATATTTCCAATGCTTACCACAAAATTCAGATGTAATTTACTATAGTTTTCATCATTTAAATGTATACACCAGTGGCAGAGCATATTTTCAGAAGTGCTAAACAAATCCCAAGGCAGAGGAAGGTTGTGAAAATACTTTCAGTTGGTTATATGCATCGTACAAGACAACTATGCAAATTAGAGCCAAAAATGAAGTTCAAAAATAAAAGGGAAAGCAAAATCATACAGTAAGAAAAATGGTTAGTAAATACTATGTTTGCCTTTCTTACTGTACCTTGTACTGGTGTTCTGTACAACAATTTTTCTCAGTGAAAATATCTATCACAGAGTCACAGAAGTCCAAAATGTTTTTTATATCTTGGATAATTTCCTTCTCAGTTGTCATTAATGGTAACTCAGTGAGCATGTTAGTTAAGTCTCTCCTAAGTCTGCATGCTGCATTGGTTAAGCAAGGGGTTTCTCCGGAGCAGAGAATGTCTGTCTGGCAGATGCACTGATAGTTGGAATAATTAACAAGGCAAACAATTTTATGACTGTGGTAATGCCACACTCAGACCGCCTCTGTGGTCTAGTGGTCAGAGGTCCCGGGTTCGATTCCCGGCACTACCAGAATTTTTCTGGGAAGTAGTGAGTCTGGAACAGGGTCCACTCAGCCTCATGAGGATAACTGAGGAGTTATTTCATGAAATAGCAGCTCTGGTCTAGAAAACAGAGATTAATGGCTGTGGGGATCCGTTGAGCTGACCACGACACCCTTTATCCACAAAAGTTGGCACTAACTTCGCCGACAAGTGGAGGTCGCTCGGTTGGTATAGTTCGCTTGAGGACTATAGGCCACAGTTTTTTTTTCTTTGGGGGGGTAATGCCACAGTCACATTTTAAATGACAGGTCTGAAATATTCCTTCATAAAATTTCACCTGAATGAACAAATAAAGGAAAGTTCAGCTATTAGAAGAAAGGAATCAATATAATGTTCACGTCATTTCAAGCAGTAGCTGGAAACTTTTCAGAAGAGTGTTTAAAGTCTTAATTCTAGAATTGAAAGAAAGTTTAGTTTGAGAGTTTCAGAGAATTGATCTATCAACTGTCCTTTAACAGTGCCAATCATTCCACAGCACAGCCAGTGCTAAGGATTTCTTCAGTCATTATTATTCATTAATATTCATTTAATCAGAAATCCTGAGTGTTCCATATCTGCCAATGAGCAGCTATTTTCTGACCAAACCTTCTCAAAGCTCTTATGCTTCTCTTTTAAAAATTCTTAATTTCTTCAACTAACATCATTACTTTTGGAATTTGAAGTGTTTTAGCTTGTGGCAGTACTCCTGAAAATACTTTGAAATAAAAATAAACATCAAACTCTTGAAGAATAACATTACATTCTTTAGCAAAAATATCACCCCATTCTTGCTTACATGCTTCCACTGGTTGCGTGCTCTGCGAACACCAAGCAGCTGTTAAAAATTTCCCATCTGGCTAAGAGTGGAGCTTGCAGTAGCTTGGAATTGATGCATTCCCTCCTCCCCTTAAGGCTATATTATATATATTGTGTTTCTTGTGCATATGCCAATAAACAGTCAATACAAGCTGTGGTGAAATGGCTAACAAGCCTACAACCAGGTGGATGGAGGTGGCAGATGATGTATTCTCTGACTGTTTTCCCTGCCAGTATGTGGAACATCACTGAACCACAAAAGTAACACTTTTCACCTCATTTTTCAAAGTGTTACCCAGGCTAACATATTTAACACAACTACTCCACCACTGTTATATATGCAAAAAGTATGAAAACAAAAACATAGATTCACATCATGAATCTGTCAGTCATATGTGTTTGACTGTAATCAACTGTAACATACAAAGCACAAAGCAGCAGCCCAACAATTCATGCATATTTCTTTAAACATGAAACAAGTGGACCAAACGTCTTCCATGACAACATAAAAACCATGCAAAAAATAATTCTTGGATGTTACCTGCAGAATTTCAAGACCCTATCTCTCAAATACAAATTTGTGGGGCATAAATTAAGGGATCTGTAAGGGAATTTATGTAGTAACTGAAATATTGTTGTGTTGACGGTAGCATAGTTCTTCCATATTATATATTGTTTGGAATTTATTCAGTCTTCTTAGTGGCACTTGGGGAGTCCTTTGTTTCTGTTGGAGTTGTGGTAGTTTTCCCATATGATGATGCTTTACTGATTTTTGTCATACCAATCATTTTTGATAACAGCCAGAAAACTGAAAATAAAAGCAGAGTTGAATAACTTACACCTACATATGAACAACAAAGTAACACACATTGTACTTTTAAATTTGCAGCAACAAAATTGAAATAGTGCTTTTTACCCTACTTTTCTGATTTTATAAGGAAACATAAATAGGCTCATGGTACTATCATGTCCACATGCCTGGTCATCAAGCAGTCGTCATTGTCGTCGTCATCATCAACAAGAAAGATAAATGTTTAGAGACAGCTGTACAAACTTTTTAACTCAATATACAAACCATGCGACCACACCTGTAATATGAATTTGCACCAGAAAGACAAAAAAATACCATACACATTTGCAGGTTCATGAGCAACGCAGGCCTGTACAAAGACCCATGCTTTGGTCTTTTTACACAAACGTTAAATTACACACCAAAAGTTCCAGTTTCACTAAATCTTTCATCACAAAGGGTTCTGAAGATATCCACATTTCTTTCAATAATACATATGGCTGTAACAGGATTTAAAAGCCATGCATAAAATGAATTTCACCATTGGATCCATTGTATTTAAAAGTCTAGAGTGATATAGTTAGAGTATGTTTAATGATTAATTTCTGTGAAAGAACCCAATGAGTATTACTCAGTCTCTTCTCCTCCAGTCACATCTGAATACTGGGACCTCTCTTTCCAGAAGAGAAAGCACTACATATAAGTGGGATTCAGGTAAGAATGGTTCAAGAAGATATGAGAATGCATACTTACAGATGCCTATGATTCCAATTCCTACAGAGAAGTATATAGTGGACCCTGAGGTGAGCAATCGTAGCAGGTAATACACCATGGGCACTAATACCACAAACCCCCAAGCTACTGTGTTGATTAAACTAAAATAACGCCGGGGAAGACGGTATCCTTCAATCTTCATCACACCACTTTCTGCAAAGAAGTCTCCCGTGCAGAAAAAACTGTCTGACATTCGATCCTACAGGTAAGAAATATATATATATATATAAAACTCATATATATTAACATATTTATCATACATACTATGTTACACCACTAAATTCCACCAAATATATTTCAGGTCTACTAAGCCATCTTCAGCATCTATTCCGTGAATCACCAACTGTAGGCCCGCATACCCTCGCAGCTCTTGGAAGGATTTTCGAGTGCCCAAGAGAATTTTGAAATATTCATTATAATTTCTTCACTGTTCACTGATATGACTGTACAACATGTGGCAATTTCTGCTTTATGAATGAAATCTCTGTCCAACACCAAGAAGTTCTAAATGTTTAGACTGTGTTCAGGTGTGACATTAATTGAGGGGTTCGGGTAAAATAACGGCGACTTTTCTGAGAAAATTACTTATTTTTCGTTAGTACCTTCTGTGAGACATGATGTACCACCATAATGATTTGGAGTATGTCCTATGTGAGAACATAGAATGCTAAGCACTCTGTACACTAATTATTTCAATTCCCATTCTTTGTGTGATGGATTCATACGGTGTTCACTATAAATTACAAACTTCTCCTAGTTGTCCATCACCCAAAGAAGGGTAGAGCCCCCGGTCCACTGATACAAATACAAATTAATAATACTTTTACTATCTCCAAAACTAATGTGTCAATCCAGAAGATCACAATCCTCCTCCTACTCCTTCATGTATGATCAATGTTTTATTAAAATTTGATTAAATTATGTTTTATCAAATTTAATGTATTCACAACAGCAGATGCGAGCAGTGGATTGGCATACAGTCTGTGGCAAAGTTGTTTTCATCATTAATGTCATCAGTTTTGATTTTTCAAGCTGTTCCAACTCTTGTCCACCAGAGGTCTTCAGTCATGTGACTGAAGTGATATCCAGGAGCAGAGTAGGGAGCCCAGTGAGTGACTGAAAATGGTGGCATATTTTGCCTCCAGTCATCTCTTATCATGAGTGACTCCCATAAATGTAGATATGAGACCCCTTGCTTTATTACACTTCTGAAAAAGTTTTGCTACAGATTTTTATCACCCTTCAAAATCCATACACCTCGACCAGATTTGATCATGAACCTTGGGTCCAATGGTGATCATGTTACCACTAGATCGCTGAGGCAGAAATTTCCAGAATTTTAGGATCTACCCTCATATATTCACTGTTGATACACATGACAAGGCCACTTTGATGATCTGGCATCTGAGGTTTTTCAAGATCTGTCAGAAATGTTTCAAATCTAGAGTGGTAAAGCCAGGAGTTGCAAATTGGATTACAGCACAAAAGTAAAGCATGAAAATCGAGTCAACCATTATCTTGCTCCCTTACTTCCAACACACCAGCCAAGATGAGCAACTTGGGTCATTACCTACTCTGTAAGTTCTGCATGATTACCAGTATATTAATCATGCAGTGATATGTATGAAGAGCAGATTGGGGTGTGGGGGTGAGAATAGTAAATGTAGACTACCATACAGAAGTGCAGGGATGGTGTTTGAGTGTGCATCAATGTGCTGTGGTTACCTTCTTCTGATACAGCTGGTATAGCCACTGCGCAGATGTCTCTTCTTCCACTGGAACCTGGTCCAAAGGAATGCGCCCAATATAAAGATGTGCCTGGACCCTCTTACCTAGTAGAAGGTCTGTCATGGTTGGTCTTTCACCCCTACATTATAAATACAGTGATCAAATGGAGGTTTAAATTTTGTGTAAGCATCCAAAGCAAATTAACACACACTTATTAATTAAAAATGATCACACTTAACTAATCAACTCCATGGAGCATAGCCCATCTTGAGAACTAATAGTCATTTGGCTTGGTCATGTAATGCTACACCTTTCATGGAACCTCAGGTTCATCACTGTGTTCGCTAGAGCCTGTCAGTGGCCCTTAACCTGAGTCTAATGACTTCAGTCCACTCTTTCCATATATGCCTACATCACCTAACTGATCTCTTCCCTTTGGGTTATGTGAATAAAATTCTGTATACACTTCTCCCATGTGTGCTACATGTTCCACCATCTCATTTCCTTGATTTGATCATCCTATTAATACTTACTGAGGAGTATAAATTATGAAGCTCCTCATTAAATAACATCATGTCACAATACTGTAAAGTGGTTTGGGAGAGCATTACTTGCAGTTCTGTTTATCATCCTGTTACCTCCTCCTTTCCTCTTTTGTACAATTAGTCCCCTTAAGAGGCCTATCTTCTAGCATACAACGTCATGCAGTCTGCTGAACGCCACTTGATGTTTTGGAGGAACTTGTCACCTCCATCTTCAGAGTCAAAAAACAAGCCATGCAAAAAAATCAGCATGAAGGAGGTACCAAGAAGAGCTCTGTAGATGGAGGAAACATGTTCCTCCAAAACAATGGTTGGCTTTCAACAAGTCACATAGTGTTATATCCAAGAGGAGATGACTCTTCATAACCACTGCTGTGAGAAACTCAAATTCTACAATTATCATCATCATGATTTTGTCAAGCACCCTCAACCTATATTTCCTTCAATATGGAGGTAAAAAACCATAGTTAAATTATAGTCATGTATATTTTAATTTTTACAACTTAGATGGCAAACAGAAAGACAAAAGATCCTGAAATGAATGGTAGTAAGCACTTACTGAATTCAATCAACTTTTTAATTTATTGATGAATGTAATTTTGATTATAATCATCTGAGATTTGTGAATATTTATGGAATGAAAAGCCAGAACACTAACAGAAATTTCTAGAAAATATTGATAACACCTACTGTGATTCAAGGATTATCACATATGCATCTAAAACTATGTAGGTAATGTTAGATAACATAATGATCTGATATAAGTATCACAAAAATGATGGTTACAGAAGATTTCAACCATCAGTTGTTAAGAATTAAAACAAAATCAGAAGTATTCTCAGAATTCATTCCCACCATGTGACAAAAGTTAAACATACTTCTCTTTCTGTTGATAAGAAATATAAAACTATGACTGGATACAGAAATAAGAACTGCTATAAGAATTTACAAAGAACAATGGCTAATTAATGTTCACACTGCAAACTGAAATAGTAAATATTTTTCCAAAATCTGAAACTTTACAATGAAATGAAGGCTAGAAAAAAACAGGTTCCATTATCAACATACTCTTTAAATGAAAGTTGAACGTCGTATATACCACCAAATTTCCCGTGAAGGTAGGGCAAACTGGTGGTAAAGCCCTTAGTTCGAGGTGTAAGGTGGTGCTTTAATACTGGCAAACCTTTTTCTTCTGCAAACTTTTTACTTGCTTCATGCTTTTCTGTCGTAAATCTTGTGCCTTCAGCCATCAACAGCAGCTGTCATTAACAAAAGGAAAGTGTCATTATAATAATTCAATTCAATTCTTTATTATTTATGTGCTGAGTCAACAGCTACAAGGCTAATTACAGACACAGCACAGTACATACAGATACAGGTAATTATATTGTGGACAAACACAACATAAAGTCAAAGACAAATTACAAGCACTGGAGGAAAAAACACATGTAAACAGAAAAGTAAACAAACAAACAAAGATGAGGAGTGGTAACAAGAACTACATAACACAGAACATTAGGAATATAAATATTATTAACAATTTTAGGTTGATGAGTATAAATATGATTGAGAGAAACAGTTCTGACTGCAAATATGTAGAGCTCTTTACCCACCGCGTTGGCAGCATAGGCACATCAAGCAGAAGGACAGTGTTTATTGGAGGGACAAACACCAAACAATGAGAAGTCCCTAAGATTGCTGAGAGAAACATGAAGGCTAACATTTTCCAGAAGGGAAGAGCAGGATTTAGGATCACAGTAGACGTGAACAAAGAAAGAAAGAAGAAGAAGAAAAAAGTGCATCAAGGTGGTGTGTCTGTTTACGTTAACAATTGTAGACTTAATTTCTCTAAGGCATCAGTATAATTATATGGAACATAAGGGAAAAAATGATAAAAAAGATGGATGCAAACTTCTGCTGGATTCACTCAAGCTTATTGACATCAGTTGAAGTGATTGAGTTCCAAACTACCGAGGCATATTCCAACTTGGACCTGATTAAAGTAAAGTACAGTACATGAAAACACTCCAGACAGCAAAATCTGTAGCTTATGGGGTGAATAAGGCCTAAACGCTTTATGCATTCAGAAAATACATAATCAATATGACTGTGAAAATGTAACTTTGAATCAAAGAAAACACCTAGGTCCTTAATACTGCTGGCATGCGTAACAGTAGCATGACAAAGCTGACACTCATAACTCAGAAAATTTGTTTTCCTGGTGTATGACATAACATGTGTTTTAGCAATCTTAAGCCTCATGGAGTTAGCAGTGCACCAGTCACTCACAGAATTAATGTCAGATTGAAGTAAGAGGCAATCATGTGGTGAGTTAATGACGCGGAAAATTCTGAGATCAACAAAAATTAGAAATTTATAGTAGTTAACAGAGTTGCATAGGTCATCTATGAATAGGCTGAAAAGAAAAGGCCCCAGAACAGAGCCTTGCAGTACACCAGACATTACTTGAAAAAGGGGGACAGTGCCAGAAACACGAACATGAGATTGTCTGCTGGTTAAATAGTTAGTTAGTTAGTTATTGGAGAGGGTGGGTTTCCCCATGCACTGAGACCTGTATGCTGGTTTAGTAAATGCAAAACCAGCTAGCATAAGCATCAGGGACTTAAAAGGAGCTTAATTTGTGCAAGAGCATATTATGGGGGACGAGGTCAAAAGCATTTGAAAGATCAAAATAAACAACAACAGCCTGAAGCTGACTGTAGACAACAGGAGTCAAAAAGTAGACAAACATCACCAAATTTGTAACTGTAGTTTTAGTTCTGGTGAAGCCATATTGATTTGGATTAAATTTAGCATAATGAGAAACATGATCATGAATAATGAATTCAAACAATTCAGAGAAATTACTGAGAATAGAAATGGGTCTGTAGTTGCTCACAGCGGCATGATTGCCTCTTTTAAATACTGGTACATCAGATGCTTTCCATGCAGCAGGACAATACTGCTGCATGAGGCTCAAGTTAAATATATGCCTAAGAATAGGAATAAAAATACCTAAACAACCTTTTATGATAAAACCAGGGATATCATCAAGTCCAACAGATTTGGAAGGTTTTAGTCTCTTGATGGCTTTGCAGACATTCACATCAGAAATGGGAGCAAGGGATAAAAATTCAGAAGGTTGCAAGAGAGGGGGAAAGTCCATAGAGCAGTGGTTATTATAAACAGTTTGAAAATGCTTAGTGAAAGCATCAGCAACTGCTTTGGGCTGGAATAGGTGTGTACCATCAACTTCTGGCTGAACAGAACTGTATCTATGCTTTCTGAAATTAAATTATATTTCCAGAAATGTTGGGGCTGTGACTTTAAATTGCTGCCAATTGACTTCAACCACCTGAGCCTGTCAGACTTTATGGTGTTTTTAATGAATTATCCATAATAGGCGAACCTGTCTTAAAGTAACCAGGTTTCTTTTTGAAATGATGATGGAAACAATTTTTCTTAGCGATGTAATACTTTATGGTATAGGAGAACCAATGAGGGAATTTGGACTTGCAGTTATAGCCACGAGAAACTACCTTTTCCATGGCACCTCTGACAGCAGCATTGTGGCTGGCGACTGCTACATCAACAGAAGAAGTTTCATATACACTTGACCAATCATATGCAGGTAGAATATTGTAAAGCAAAGGGTAGGTGCCTGTCGCAAAAATTTGATAACTGAATTGACAATTTATATTATTATTAATGTGAGGTAAAAAAACATCAATATTCAAGGGATGGTGATGTGTATCAGGTGCAACCAATTCAGAGTCAGCAGGAACAGAATTTAGATCAGTGAAATTTGCAAAGACTAGATCAAGCATGTTAAGAGTACCAACAGCTTCAATGCACTGCCTTAAGCCAAGAAGACATATGGAGGTGTATATAGCATCCGCCTTGAGTTTAGAATAATAATGACATTTAGGTAGGTGTTAAAACCAGGAGCACTGAAGTTCCCTAATAAAATGACATGAGTATAACAACAACAACAAACATATACAGCAAACAATTGTATTAGGTCCCAAAAATAAATTAAAATATAAAAGTACCTGACATACTGCTTTGTAACAATGGAAATAGTAGTTACATGTTTTAATGGCATCAGATCCTAAATCCAGAAGAGTTAAAGATGGTTTTTAAGTAGTATACTGATGTGAGAAATATGTTAAGATTTCCAAATATTCATTTAAATATCTGAATCTTTTACAATAAACTTAACCTTATTCCTGACAAATACACAAGCACACACATCATATTGACTATTAAAAATCAAAAGTTCACTTCTGAGTATCAAACTACTCAAACACAGAACCTTTGAAGGAAATGAACTAAGTGTGGGAATGCTTCTTGAATGTCATCATGACACAAGAAGATGCTGCAGAAATTCACAAATGTCATACTCTAAGCTGGACTGCTTTTTAATTTTCTCACAATTGTAGGTATTCATACAAATTTTAAACCATTTTTGCATCAAGGAACAGAAATTATATAGGGAAAACATTCACACTGAAGGTAAAAAGAGGAGACAGTGACATAAAAGGATGGGCATTCATTATAAAATACAGTATCCTAGGAAAAAAAGGGTGAAGTTGGCAAAAATCACATTTCAGAAATAAGCTTTAATTTGTAGAGTGAAATGTGGTTCAGTATATCTTTCAAAATGACATCATACAAGAATACCTAGGATTTAATCATGATTATTGGTGCCACCATGCAAGATTTTGTACTCTACATCCACCTGAGAAAACCCCTCTTACCATTACAGTATGTTACAGGTTTGGAATTGGAGTACAATGGGACAGAACATCAGCAGTAAATACATTAAGAAGAAAGCCTATGACTGTATTGACGTATAATATTTTCACAGTGAATCTGTTATACCATTAACACTAATTTAGTTAATTAACTTATAGTAAAGTTTTTATAGACAGACTTTTGTTTGATACATTTCCTATCCTGAATTGTCTGTTACCACTGTTTTTCAGTTCACTCTGGCTTAGAATGTTCCTGACATGCTGCCATAATTTAAAATCTGGGTATGTTACATGTCCATGCCCAAAAAATGGATAACTGTACCATTATAAAGCAGTGGAGTGTAGTAATATTAACTTACCCATATGGGATCAGGATGCTCCACAAGTTCTTTTATTTGCCTCCCTATTGTTTCCTTGTCCTTTTCCCAGTTTCTCTCTAGGAAAATACTCTCTGCAAACAACCAAGCCCAGCCCATTGTTGGCACATATCGAATTGACTTCTTAGCAAATGTTTTGCAGTTCTAAAAAAAAGACATAAAAAGCAAAAGATGCAACACATCTTACAATATCTTCCAGTTTGGATTCATTCATAGTTTTTCTAAATACCTTAATTTCATAAAGTAAAGGTAAAAGTAAAAGACCACCTCTGTTGTCTAGTGGTCAGAGTTCCTGGCTACATATCCTGGGGTCCCAGTTTCGATTCCCGGCGCTACCAGATTTTCTCAGAAGTATCGGGTCTGGAACGGGGTCCTCTCAGCCTTGTGAGGATAACTGAGGAGCTATTTCAAGGATATAGTGGCTCCGGTCTAGAAAACCAAGATTAACAGCTGCGGGATCCATCGCACTGACCACGCGACACCCTCTATCCACAAAAGTTGGCACTTAACTGACAAGCAGCAGTTGCTCAGTTGGTATAGTTCACTTGTGGACTATAGGCCACGGAGTTTTTTTGTTTGAAGGTAAGAGCAAAGTTGTCTGTGTTCTTAATCAATCAAGCACCATGCCACAAAGACATATGGGGGAAGTTGAAGAATATAACCACAATTCTTGACCTCAGATGCAGGTGAGTAGTCAGCTTCATGCCCCAGCTGCTTTACCACCAGGAAAAGTACTCCCAGTATGCATTGGAGAGGAGGGTGGGTGGACTCCAGAGCCAGTTTGGATGCTGTGAAGTACAGAAAAATCTCTTGCCCCTGCCATCCAGCATGTAGTCTGTCACTATACTGACTGAGCTATCCCATCTCACTAATTTCATACAGACTAGCAATAAAATGTAGAAACTGGTTTAGTTGTTACCTGGTCATAATGGCAGGCAATGCTTAAATAAGCATATTATTTTTTCACAGTACTAACGTCTGTGTTTATACAAAACATTATAAAGACTGGCAGTCCTTTCCACAGTAGTTACTTTATACAGGAGACTGGTTTGACACAAAAAAATATAATCTGAATACTGCTTACAGTATCAGATTATTATTGGTCCTGAAGTTAAGTGACACAACCCTTTGTGCATACCAGAGATGGACTACTTTTAGCCTCAATGTAAACAAATCTTTGTATCTCTAATTTAATTTGCTGGGAAAAGGACGGATACGTTTACACCTTAATATTACACCTGTGTCTGAGGCACTTCGAGACAGATCTGTCAACTTGGCCTTGACATTACAAAGATCATGGACTTTGAAATTTATCACTTGTAGATTACTGTACTATGGCATAAAACACATACATGACGGACAGAATCTGATTAGACATGTCACTGAAACTTACAGCACAAAGAAACATTTTTGGTCTTTTACAGAATTTTTAACTATTCATTATGTACTTAACAACTTAACAATAAAAATGTTTTGTTGTAGTGTAGATCATTTCTGCTTTATGTTTGGGAGGCACTACACATGAATAAGGGATTTACTGGCTCTCCATGATTAATCAAAAATTGTGCCAGATTAACACCTTACAATGATACACAGTCACATTCTCCACCTCCCTTTCTAATGATCATTTTCAATGAACAATTGCTTTTTCGACTTTGTGTTTGGTTTTGACTGTGATGTATAGCAGAACTGAGCAATGTGTCTGCATCAAGATTTGCATGAAGCTTGGTAAATCCACTACTGAAACCCTTCAAATGCTTCGTGAGGCTTTTGGACAGTATTCTTTAAGCTGGACAGTGGTTTTTGAATGGCATTCACGTTTCAAGGCAGGTTGAGGGTCAGTTGAAGATGATGAACATTCAGGGCAAACAAGCACCAACAAAATGACAGAAAATGTTGAAAAAATTTGAGAATCCATCCATGAAGACTGTCACCAAACAATCCATGCGCTCACAGACACCATTGGGATCAGTTATGGAGTTTGCCAGGAGATCTTAACAGAATATCTGAACATGTGACGCATTGCTCCTTCATCACAACAAAATGCCCACCCACACATCCCTGAAAACCACAGAGTTTGTGACTAACAACAACATGGTTATCATTCCCTATCCTCCCTACTTGTTGGACTTGGCCCCTTGTGATTTTGCTTTGTTTCCCAAATTGAAAATGAAACTGAAGGGACGTTTTGAAACAGTATTTGATATCCAAAGGGAATCGCAAGCCATACTTGACAGCATTAAGGATAAAGACTTTCATGGTGCTTTTGAAGCATGGAGAAACTGATGGGATCACTATATACATTCCAAAGGACACTATTTTGATGGAAATGGCAGCCAAAGTTGAGTAAGTTAAGCCAGCACTTCCTTTTTGACCTAGTTCGGGAACTTTCAGATAGCACTTTGTAATTGGTAGAAATTCACCAGCATTCCTCTGAAGCATTAGTGAACTTCTACCAGCCAAGATGGCACCACATCGAAGAAAATAGAATTCTTCTTATTCTGCAGCAGTTTTTAAAGTTTCTCTTTAGAATTTTGACCAACAAACTTGAGCATGACAGGTACAAAGCGAAAAGAATTTACATGTTATAAGCAAAGTATAAAATTAAGTACAATACAATTCCTATTCACTCATCAGAATGACCAAAACGCCAGGTAAAGTGTGAGATGTTTGCCATTCCATACAATACCATATTTGGTAATGAGTTAAAGATAAGCCCAATAAGTGAAGCAGATCAGCCCTTTAACATTACTAACCTAACATACTGCATAACTTAACCTAACCTAATGCAACATAACCTAAACTAACACAAATTGCTTTTGTAATAACATCCCTGCTTTCCGTCCAATAGAACTTCAGAAAATAGCAAGTCTGGTCTGGTCTTAAAAATCTGTGTTTCAAAAAAGGATTCATGAATCAGTAACTAGAATTCTAATGATTTCTTCATTTGATCATCTTCCTGCATAGAGGAAGAGTCATGCAGAATGAACAAAATACATGTGCACAAGACATATCAACATATAAAAAACAAAGTGTGTATTAATTAAGCGTTGTTACCAACTCACTCCAAGTATATTTACTCGGTCACAGAGAACCCATCCCATGAGCCAATCTACTTCATACCGATGATTCATTATAAGGAACCCATGCTCTTTGCCATAGTATCGTTCAAGATCCTCTTTATCTATGTAGAGTACCAGGTCTGTGGATGCCCACCATTCTGCCATGAACACCAATTCTGAAATGACACATTACTATTGACCAATACAAATCATATATATTATACATGATGCCCACAAATTAAAAAAAATGGATGAACTTTAGGGGGGTTAAGACTAGGGACATGTGCCTAGTTCAATACCACTCATCAGAGGTGTCAGTAGGAGTAATACGACCGCTCAATTGTGACTATCAATATAATAAACAATTCAAATCCAAATTTAGAAGAAAAGATTTCAAATTAAACTAATGTTAACTCATGAGGGTGGTATTTCCTATACACCAGATACCTAGACTTAACACACAGACTTGTGAAAACAAAGTACAACATAAAAGAGGGGTAGACATCAAGGTAGGACAGCCTTTATGAAACAAAACTGTCTGAATTTATTATGTGTGTTTAACAAAATATCAGCAATCTCACAGTTAGAAACAAGTTGCAATATGAGGTAAATATGTACAAGTCCTTATACTTCGTAAGCTCCATTACATAAAGACATATGGGACAATGAAAGTGTGGCATCACATATTCTTAACCTTGGCACTGGATGCAAGGTAAATGAGTTAGCTCTGTGCTTCTGCCATTTTATCCCTGGAGAAAGAGACTAAGACAGCCACTGAACAGGTGGCTGGTGGGCCCCAAAAAGTTGGTCTGGATACAGCAGTAAAAGGAAAAATCCCTGCCACTGCTGGGAATCAAAGAAGACATCTCACTCTCTAATACTGATCTACTGTGAATAAGAAAGGCATTTTCATTTGTATGCACACTGTTAAACGATAAGAAATCTTTTTTTTTTCAAACTGATTTGTAAAATCTGTGCACTTGGCACCTCTGGGATATAGTACATCTATCAGTATTCAAAATTCTTCTTCCTCTTTGTGAACATAAACAAGGATTAGGTCTTAAGACCTGCTCCTTTAATGCTCACGGTATTCTTAAACTTTAAACCTTTTCCTGGGTCTTCTGGCATCCTGTTGTCACCAGGGTTGATACTGAAAAGCTAGTTAGGGTAAACAGCTTGAGTATGGAAAATAAGATTGAAATAAGAAAGCAGTCTTCTGCTTAAGCAATCTTACAAGATTGAAATATATTCAGTTCAAGGACATACATTTGAGATTAAAAGCTAAAAACTAATTATTGCTCTCTCTAGCTATATATATAAGGATTTTACAAAAAATATGAAAATGTCAGATAAAAGCAGGATAATTAAGCACTACGAAACATATTCCAAAACGATTCTTATTAGTCTTCTGTGTCATGGACACACATGCACAATCATTTAGACACAAGAAAGTACTGCAAAAAACACATTAAGGCATATACATTCAAGATATTGTAGGAACTATTTCAAAATTTAAATTACCCTACATGTATTACACTTCAGGCTAGAATCACTAAACTAGAAAAAAATTATGGGAAGAGAAATTATATGAGCCTTTTTCAGTTGAATGATTAAGTTTCACATCTCAGCTATACTATCTGTCTAGCCATATTCTTGAAAGTACTACACTAATAGACTTTTGTAAACAGGGCTTCAAGAACTGATTACTCTCCACAAAGGAAATCATTTTAGCTAAACTGCACAAGAAGTGGCATACCTGCTAAATCACAGCTCTGTACAAATTGTTTACTTCCAGATCAAGAGCACAACAAATGACCGCGCCATAACTCAAGCGGTTAGTCACTGGCTTCCCACTGCAGCGGCCTGGGTTCGATCCCAGGTCTGGTCAAGTGGGATTTGTGGTGGACAAAGTGACACTGGGGCAGGTTTTCTCCGAGTACTTCGGTTTCCCCTGCCAATCTTCATTCCACCAATTGCTCCACAATCACCCTCACCTATCATCTGGGGCTGGTACAATTGGCCAGAATTGGCCGCAGTACAAGGGACTTAGTCCCATCCCACTAGCAATAAAAAAAAAAGAGCATTACAATATTAATTTTCACTGCCTTTGCAAAGGCTGTTTTNTCATACCCTACCGGTACTGGTGCGTGCTATCAGCCAACTAGGTCGGCCCTCGGTACCTGATATTTCCCCCATCTACCAGAGGCATTGGAAACTACTTGGGCGGGAAAATTTGCCTAATTTAGCTCAGAGGTCTCCTAGAGACATGAGGTTCTTTTACGTGCCGTAAATCTACGACACGGGACCCACGGCTTAAAGTCCCTGCCGGAGGACTTGTTCTCTGAATTTTTCCGCCCTTAAAAATTCCACGACGTCCGCCGGGTTTGAACCCGCGTACCTTGAGTCATGAGGTAGGAATGTTACCCCTAGACTACAGAGGCCACTGTGTAGTCTTGTAAGTGGATACCAACATTTTGGAGGAACATGCTGCCCCCATCTTCTGGGTTAACCATGACCACAAAGGTAGCACATTCCCCTAAAATATTAGTATCCACTTACAAACATAAATAATACCACAACTTAGAAGACCAAACTTAGAATAGTCATTGCTATGAAAACCTGAAAATTTATTACTGGGCTTTCCAACAGGTGTTACATTTAGGACTAGCCATCATGTATTATTTTACCAAAGGTAGTTTATATATATATTGAAGTAGCGGCCTCCGTAGTCTAGGGGTAACGTTCCCACCTCATGACTCAAGGTACGCGGGTTCAAACCCGGCGGACGTCATGGAATTTTTAAGGGCGGAAAAATTCAGGGAACAAGTCCTCTGGGAGGGACTTTAAGCCGTGGGTCCCGTGTCGTAGATTTACGGCACGTAAAAGAACCTCATGTCTCTAGGAGACCTCTGAGCTAAATTAGGCAAATTTTCCTGCCCAAGTAGTTTCCAATGCCTCCGGTAGATGGGGAAAGCATTAGGTACCACTGCCAGATGAGGTCCAACCTCGCTGACAGAAAGGGACTAATTATCAGATACCACCGCCAGTAGAGGGCCGACCTCGCTGGCAGAAAGGGGCTGATAGCGAACACCAGTACCGGTAGGGTATGGAGACAGTAGAAATTAAAGGGGGACACACAATGGACCAATAACTGGTCTAAGTGCATGGGGAAAACCCACCCCCTCCAATAATGAATGAATGAATGAATGAATATATATTGAAGTAGTGTCACATGCTTTGGTTTTTGTTTAGTCTCAGAAATATATAATTCAGTAACCCAAATAAAGAACAAATCCTGATGTGATTTGGATACTACGTAATATCACAAGTGCAGATCGTGAGGAATCTAGAGATCACGCATTCATGAAAACTTGCTCATTTAAATTTAACCCTTGTGCAGCAAAGAATGTCTCACACAATTTGACTATAAGTCACAACTGTCAAATCATTACAAATCAGAATTTATTTTGATGGACAGAATATTTAGTTACAATTGATACAAATTTATGCATTGTAAACTTAAAAATGAACTATTATGGATGTGAACCTGAGGTAAAGACATAAATACCACGAAGAAAAAGATGGAAGGTTCCCATACAAGCCAGCAAGGATGTTTATTAGTAGAGAGAGACAGACAGGAAAGAATAAATATACTCATATCTTGTAATAAGTATGCCAGGGAAAAAAAAAATTAAAAATCTCTTGAAAAAATGGAAAACTTCAAATAGTGTATTGCTCTTACACACATCATAGTTCATACAAACTGTTTCTTTCCTTAGTTCCGAGCATGAACTTCAAATGTAATGCAATGTCTAAAAATTATGCTTCAGAATTCATGTATTTTCCCCACTTCCCTCAAATATAGTCACAACTGTATAATAATAATAATAATTAGTGCAGCAAAAGATTAAGAAATGTTGATTTAGCTCTATTAAAGGAATGAATGAATTTCTGAAGCCCTGTCATGATTGTTACTATTAAAATACACTATCAGCATTTAAAAACACAAAACTGTTAAAAGTAAACCTACTTTCAACATTACACAATTCTACATAATTAGACAAACATGATTTGATCACGTGATACATGACTGTTTAACCTTTAAGTGTCAAAGTGCCAGTAATGAGTAAGGTCGTCGTGGCCAAAGTACCCCGTTTTGGCCAGTCAGGCATTTAAACTCTGCTAGTGGAAGCGCGCACACGCCGCTAGTAGAAGCGCATGCACAGTCCTAAATATTTATTTTTAAATGTAGTAATTGCCGGTCACCATAGCTGAGCAGTCTAAGGCGTGCACTGTCTTCACTCGCTCGGAAGCTGGGATCGTGGGTTCGAATCCCACTCAGGGCATGGATGTTTGTGTGCGTTTTTCTGTGTTTGTCTACAGGTAGAGGCCTTGCGACGAGCTGATCACTCGCCCAAGGAGTCCTACAGTATGTATAAGATCTAGTAAACCGAAGTGAAACGGAGAGTTTCATGGAGGTAGGCCTAGGCCCAAATTGGGGCTGTAGCGCCAAAGGAAAAAAAATGTAGTAATTACCAGAGACTTGAGTAAAACCCTAATAGAGGAATTAAACTAATACCTAACTGAACAACAGCAAATAAAAATATACGTATGAGTTATGCCAAAACTTATCCACGATCCAGTAATTTTATTGCAGATTCTGCAGATAGGTATGTTAAAAATATATTGTAAAATTCGATGTACATACCGTTTTTGTTGTTACCTGCTTGATGTATATATAGGTTCAAATAAAACTACAGTATTCGATTTCACTACGAATGCACACAAAACAGATCGCGCTCTGTATCTCAGCCACCATGCAGCTGTCTGTTCACTCAAATAGAAGGGGCAATAAGCTTTTGCAGCTCTAATGGATGGTCTTAGCACTGAAAAAGGGACCCCTCTAGCTTTCTCTTGAATAGCCATTCTTTCATTCTTCTGACCTTCAGTCAAAGATTCGAAAATCCGAAGAGTGTAAGCAATGCTGGCAGAAGACCAAATGATTTTATTGCTTCCATCTGTTTTATGACACCAGGGACTGATAAAATTTGTCAAGTGTTACATACAGAAATAAATTTATAATGCAGAACAACTCTGTGAAGAACTGGGAAACCATTTTTGCAGTATGCATCAAAATTAAAACACAAAAAATTGAAAATAGAGTATAACACTTTGTATTAAAAATTTCAAATCTTCCGTTATAATATGCGACACTATGTTCTTTTCTGATATAAACAAAGTTAATTCCATCCATTTATCATAAAAAATGAGCTAGATACAGCATTTTTAAACACAATGCTTAAAATTGATTAAGCGCCTAAGAGGAACGGACATTTAAATGCAGAGTAGCAACGGGCATTTAAACGAGCACCAGCAGCGGGCATTTAAATAAACTCCGGCCAGCTCAAACTTACCACTCTTTCGAAGTCCGGCGTTTAAAGGTTAAAACATGATCTGGTAATGAGGCTGCTAGCCCAACTTCCAAAATCAGTAAAAACATACATACAATAACTCTGTCGGCTGTGCAATGGGCTTTTAACTGCAGGTACATGTAGGAACTATTACCTGGTATCCTATGTTACTGGCAGGATTACAGTAAAAAGCCAATCACTGCACAGTAGGCAGAGTCCTTTACGTAAATGACTCTTACAACTTTATCTGCAACAGAGAATATATACCAGAAACACCTACTTTAAGTCAGAGATGCCCAACGTACCAAGAGTATGTGTAAAGAAATCACGAGTTTGGATTATTAAACAACGTAATATATGTGTAAGATTTGAGGTTTTCACGGCAGTGACTATGAACAAAGCTGTCTTCCGGGATCTGGCACTATGTAGATATTGTGTTGACCATCGTTTTGCAGGAACGTATCACCTCCATCTACAGGGTAGAAGAAAAAAAGAAAATCTGGGAACGAGGAACCAGCGTGAGCAGGTGCTGACAGACTAATGTCAAGTCGAATAAACCCAGCTGTATCACAGCATGAGGAGGAGGGAGAGAGGCTACATGGGAAATCAGAGAGAGGAGAGGGGAAGGGTCTATGGAGATGGATCAGCAGGTGCCTGGCCACAGCAGGTATAGAATACTGTGTCAGGGAGAGAAAGGCAAGGCTAATTGCAGTGCTGTCCCGGCACAACATCAAATCAATTGGCCTGCCTCCAAAGAAATTATCTTGTTTCCTCCAACTAGTCAAAAATAGGCTGGGACTAAGGACACCAGGTGTATACAGAATCCCCTGTGAGTGCAGCAAGGTCTACACTGGGCGGGCCATTCCGTGGACACGAGGTTGAAGGAGCATCAGCAGCACATCTGTCTTGAACATCCGGACAAGTCAGCTGTGGCTGAACACAGTATCGATTTGGGACACCACATTCAGCATCAGAGTACCTCCATCCTCGCTACCAGACCCGTTATATGGATCGCATCATTAGGGAGGCCATTGAGACTGAACTCCATCCCGATAATATGAACAGAGAGGTGGGGTTTTGTCTCAGAAAGTGATGAAAGCCTCTCATCTGTTCCCTCAAGAAAGCTCTGGGACATGACGCCAGATTCACTAGGCTACACAGGTCCATCCCCAACTCGAATCGTAGCCCTGAAGCTTCTGGATTAATGCCCTCCAATTAACCTTGCCCTTCTCCTCCCGACACAATATTCTATACTTGCTCTGGCCAGCTACCTGCTGGTCCATCGCCACAGACCCTTCCCCTCTCCTCTCTCTGACTTCCCATGTAGCCCCTCTCCCTCCTCTTTCTGCTCTGATACAGCCGGGTTTATTTGACTTGACATTAGTCTGTCAGCATCTGCTCACACTGGTTCCTCGCTCATGAATTTTCTTGTTTCTTCTACGTGAAGCTGGAGGCGATATGTTCCTCCGAAACATCGGTTAACACAATATCTACACAGTGCCACATCCCAGAAGATGGCTTTAAACGTAATACACATTAGGTTCAATGGCCTTTTATGTGGTAAAGCATGATTCAAGACAGTTTAATGCATATTACCTCAATTGGATGACACGTGGGTTTCTATGTAATGCATGCCATATCTAAGAATGTGTACAAAGAGTTACATATAAAGATTTCAACATGCACCCCTAAAATGGAAGACTGAACACATCTTTGCATAACAACACCACAATTACAGGGTAGTATTACTGTAACTAAATGTGCTAATGTGCACATGTAAACAATAAGAACAACAAATTGAAGCCTTCTCTGAGTTTCCAGTCATTACAAGTACATTTAACAATTTTTTGTAATTGCAATTTTAACTATCCTATATATTTCTGACTTGGATATAAAGGTCAATCACTAAATTATCTCAGGAAAGACAAACAAACACAGCTTCTGTAATTTAATTAACTGCAGAAAATATTTTATTTTAACAGCTTTAACATTATTAAATATTTCATACAAAGAGTACAAATCAAGCGCACCAGCTATCATTTCCGCATGAAAAGTTTTATTAGCGAGCAAAGCAACCTTCAGCTATCTCCTCCTGGAAGTGATAACAAAGTCCGTAGGTCAATGTGTCAACTCATTTACATGGTATAAATACAGTCAACTCTTGATTATCCGGGATAATGGTGGGGATGGAAATCACGATTAATTGAAAACCCGGTTAAGACAAATTTTATTAAAAGTAGTGCTGTAATACTGTACCTTCATAATACTATAGGCCTGCCTGTATTTAAATTTATTCAACCTCATTTTTATGTCATCTCATGGCCTATTTAATACTTTTTTTACATTACACTGAAGTATGAATTAGTTATTTCAATCACAGTCTTCAACAACATCCAACACTTTTTACGAATATTAACATTTAAAAATTTAATATTGTCGTTTACTTTTTCGAGGCATTTTCCTTTTTCTGTTGAATACTTAACACAACACGCTTCCTTTTACACCCTGACATTTTGCTAACGCACTTGAAGATCGACACGGAGAAACTAACTGGGGCGATGTATCTGTCCTTGAAACTTTCCACAAAACCTTGCATTCTTTCACCCCTACCCTAGAACATTGTGTTAGCATAACGGGACCAAAGAATGCAGAGCTCGGTTCACACTAGTGCGAAAATAATGTTACAACTCGCCATGTGAAACAAAAGTGAATGAATATTAAACAACATATAAGCCTCAAAAAAGCCTCAGTAGCCCCGGTTAAGCCGAAAACCGGTTAATCGAGAGTTGACTGTAAGCTGAATGATGTATATGGCACACTTCCTTTATAAATATGAAATGACCCATCAACAACCACTCAGTATTTAAAACACAAGAGACAGTGTTAAGTGTTTTCTCAAGCACTTACAGTACTGCATTCACTGGCCCATGCTTATTCACTTACAAAGATTACTGTCAAACTAACTCCAAGTTTCATCAATTATAATCTTGACATACAGCACATTACAGTAATAGTTTGAGGTTGTACTGAAAAACTACTTCTCGCCCAGCCTCACACTGACAATACCAACCGCTACCTCCTAAATGATGAGATTACTAACAAAAGGAAACAGAAAATAACACAACCTTGACAAGACAACACAGCAAAAAGGTTGAACAGCCAGTGGACAGACTCAGAATAAACCCACATAACAGTAACAATAGCCAGGTGAGTATAAATGGACAGAGGGAATTACAAGCAAAAAATCCTTGGAACTGCTCATGAACATTACAATAATGAAATGAAGACCAGTGGGAAGACCAAAAATTTAAACTGCAAAATAATCCACAAAACAGTTCTATTATATTATTTTAACTTTATAGTTTTACATATAATTAACTAACTCCATGAAGAACAATCCTTCTTGATAAGCCAACAGTTATTCGGCCACTCAAGAAATTCTCAGCATTTTATAAAACCCAAAGATGCATTACCAAGTTCATAAGACCCTGCCACCGAACCCTATCCTCATCCAGAAAAGTCCAGCTCACACCCTTGAAACTTATATCTTTAAGATCCATTTTAATATTACCCTCCCATCTATGTCTGGTTCTTCTTAGTGATCTCTTTCCTTCAGGTTTTCCTGCTGGAACTCTCAATGCACTCGTCTGCAATACATGTCACATGCCCTGTCCATATCATTAACCTTCATTGGATCATTCTAACAGTATCTTGTGTAACAAATTTGATACCATAAGCTCTTTCCAACACTCCTTAATTGTAAAATGGAAATGTTTGTATGTAAATGAAACTGATCTCTGTTCAATCAAATCTTGTTTCTATTAAGCAGAAACAGAAAAAAAAGTTTGATATATCAAGTAGACTTGAACTTGAAGCCAAGCACGAGACATAAGACACATAAGCCAAATGTTTTCCTAGCTGCTGAAGTCTCATGGTACATAACTTGGATCTTATCATAGTTTTTTTATTAACAAAGTGACCTATCACAATAGTTCTTTCAATATTTATGCAGATAATGCAAAACAACTTGGCTGTCTGCATTTTGGACATCTCTGCTTTCATCATTCCACACAACATAAACACTGTAATCTCTACTTGCAGTTTCACTTACGGCAATAGAGCGAATAACAGACATAGTAGTTGATTTTCCTGTATAAGTATTTGCTGAACGGTCGAAGTCCATAGTACAACAAGGCTTGCGTCAGATTGATGATCAAACCAGACACAAAAAAAGTGATGGCAAGAAGAAGGTGGGAAACTGAAGAACCCTTCACATATGACACCAGGCCCACCATTGTGATCTCACCTAAATAAAGACATAAAGAAAAACCTAGATTTACAGATACAGTACAACAGACATGTGCAATTTTATTCTCATCCTGACACATAATTTAGTAAGATGCTTCATTCTCCAACAAATAAGCCCTTTCAAAAACTAAAATATTATATTTCATGTCACTGCTGATATTTCCATCTATACTGACAAACATGTTCCAACAATCATATACAAATTTTCTTACAAATATTAAATACACTGAGATTCCATTCAACAAATTAAAATGTAAGAGTTCTTTTTGGTTATTCATTATTCAACATAAAAAGAAAATAAAACTGCATTATTGATGAAAACAACCCTCCTGCGACAGGTGCACATGGAGGCACACACACACACACACACACACACACACAAAAATATATAAAAAAAAAGTAAAGTAAAGCTATCCCTGTACCAGGCCGTGAGGGCCCATAGGGTTGTGAGATGTTGAGATTCCCACATTTTCTAGACATTCAGCTCAAAGATGGCGGTAAGGCTGTCAGCCTTATGAGCCGGTGACGCTTTACTCCCCAGGAAAATTATTTAATTAATTCCTGGTACTCATTTCCGTTAGAGGCTGAGTAAACCCCAGGGCCTAGTGCGGATGGAAGGATGGACTGGAATATTACACCAAGTCATTACTTACTTACTTATGGAGCTCAGACCTGGGACTCATTTCTGTTAGAGGCTGAGTCAACCCCAGGGCCATAGTGCAGCTGGAAGGATTAGGTCAGTTGAAAAAACCAATAACTTCATAGGGACTTGAACCTGCGACCTTCCAGCTTATAGCATAGTGTGTCAACAACTACGCTACCATGTGCACCCTAAGTTGGTAAGGTAAAAAAGGTAAAGTTGTCCCCATGCTTAACTAATTAAGCACTACACCATGAAGGCAAATGGGGGAGTGAATGTATAGGTCCACATTTTCTTGACCTCAGAACTCAGTGGAAGTGAGTGCTCAGCATCACCCCCCAGCCACTTTAACCCTGAGAAAGAGCCTCGAGTACCCATTGGATAGGAGGTTGGGTGGACCTCAGAGCTGGTCTGGACACTGTGGAGAAGAGAAAATCCTTGACCCTACCAGGACTCGAACTCCAACCCATTGGTGGTCCAGCCCATAACCAGTCGCTATACCAACTATGCTATCCCAGCTCTTCAGTTCTATGTTGGTAACTGTCATTAATTTCATTTAAGCCTCTGTAATAGTCTCTTATTTTCTTGTTCTGTTTGTTGCAAACTCATTAATTTTTTCTTTCAAATATTATCTTTTTTCATTCCTAAAACGTCTACTAGCTTAATGTCCATCATTTCCATTCATTTGACTCAGAACATGTAACCAGAACAATTTGACGTATTTGCTGTGATCTATCAGTTCTGATCATCATTAATAAAACGATGGTTTGTGTTCTTCTGTATTTCAGCATCCTGTTGCAATTGTTTAACTTAACGTCCATGTATTTGTCATCCTTCCATATTGCAACACTTGTTTATTCACCATTTAATCTTAATTTCAGTTTAATATTTTACACTTTGACACAACATGTTTCAGCCCCGAATGACCATCTTCAGGTGTCTTGATATGTTGCATATATTTTATTAAATTATGTTAAAACTGCTACACTGTGTTAGTCATTGTTAAAATCACATGCTGTAGTTCTCTATTCAAGGCAAAACAAGATTAATTGCTTTAAAAAATTTATGTTAAGCCCACATTATTTTTGTGCATTTTATTTCACCTCATAAGGGTGAAAATCCCATTTTTCATAAATGTATGCCTGTCCCAGGTGTTATGTACCAGCAGCTTGCCCTTCACGTTTGTAGCCTACCTTTCAGTTATGTTTGCAGTCTGTAATTTATAAGATCCCTAAGTTAATGTTGTTTTCTAATTGTTTGCTATTGTTATTATATTATGTTTGTTTACTTTATACTCACATGCCCCTGGTTTGCATGTTTCCTCCACAGCGTGTGGTGTCTTTACTAGTGCGGATGCAGTGTGTTTGTTCCTGTATTTATATGTCCTGGTTGTGAGGAGTGGGGAGAGATGAGGGAGGGTATAGTGTTATGTTGTGTAATGTTGTATAGTACTTCCAATATAGGGTTGTGTGTGTCGATGTTTGTGTCATTCATATGTATATCTTTTTCATTGTTTTTGTAAATATAGTATTTCTCAAGTGTATTTAAATATTTTACCTTGAAAAGAGAACTACACTGTGTGATTTTAACATGGACTAACACAGTGTAGCAGTTTTAACATACTTTAATAAAATATATGTAACACATCAAGACAACTGAAGATACTGATATATTGGGTTTTTGGACTTTATCCATCGTCCTGGTTTTTAAGATAACTAATAAAAACACGACGTTTCAGAAACTGGATCTGTTTCCATCCTGAGGTGAAGGAAAATACCTATTCTGTTGGGTCTGTTAGAAAGAGCTAGCCTCAATCACTGGACCAGTCTAGAATAGGTGTTTTCCTTCACCTGAGGACGGAAACAGATCCAGTTTCCGAAACGTCGTGTTTTTATTAGTTATCTTAAAAACCAGGATGATGGATAAAGTCCAAAAACCCAATATCTCTGTGTGTTATACACCATCGTCAGAATCCTATAGTAACTACAACTGAAGATGGTCGTTTGTGGCTGAAACATGTTGTGTCAAAGCATAAAATGTTAAACTAAAATTATGATTAAGTGGTAAATAAACAAGTGTTGCAATAATGACAGACAATAAATACATGGATGTTAAGATGGTTTATGTTACTTCACATCAAGTACCCTAGACTCTCTTTTGCTGATATTCTGGTATTCTCTTGAATAGCTTCTCAGGCCCTGTTGATGTGTACATCATCAAGTTTTCCAAGGTTGCAAACTTGTCTCAGATTTTAATTTGGTACTGTTCTTTACCTTCCACCAAATTTAGCATCTTGAAATTGAATTTATCCACATCAAACTTATGTATTGCATGCTGTGACCACCAGATAGCGATCAGAATCACAGCCAGCTGAAAAAATGACATCAAGTATACATGAACGCTGCATTCTGTCAATCAAAATGCAACCAATCTGACAGTGCCTTTTGATCAGGAGACGTCCAAGTGAATTTATGAACATTGTGATAAGGGAACATGATACTCCTGACAACTGGATGTTTTGATGTGGCAAAGTTTACTACTTTAATTTGATGTGCATAATTAATTTCATGTAAATTCACATTCAGAGCTGTTGGTCTGAAAATATCTCCTCCACCTATTTTGGAACTGAATCTCCTAACAAAATTTTCATGCAGTACTTAGGGATCTGATCAAATACACACTCTACTTTTTTATAGAAGCTATCTTTTTGTGCCAGTTCAATCCGTATGCTCCATATGTAATTTAATTTAGACTTATTACTTTGTTTAAATTAATCCCAGTCGCACATCTGTTCAGTTTATCCCCATGATATCTGAGGGTTCTTAAGACATGTATTCAGAAAAGTTCTGTGCTGTTTGTGACAAATAGAAGGCTTAGAACATATGCTAAGAATGAAGGAAAGTTTAGATCTTAGCATTTGACATGCTATAGATATAGCAATGCCATTCAAAATTCTAAGAGGTTCTTCTTTTGGAATATGGAACCTTAACTATTTTGCTATCGGTAGGAAGGTGTACATGTTTTTGCAGGAATGCATGATACATGAAGTGTCCAGATGGGAACATGCCTGTCATTTAGAATTGGGAACTGAAGGTATGCAGTGATGGTTTAAATGGGGTTCATGTGTTCACCCACTTCTTGTGTCATTAAGCAAACAGAATGCTGTTTTAGTTTTACTGAGGCAGGATTTATATATTTTATATTTGAATAAAACTAAGTCATGGGAAAAGTGTTTGAAGGTTAAGGTTAGCAGAAGTTCAAAGGGGGCGACACCAAGAGGTTGATCAAAAATAGCAAGCAATGATAGAAAGGGGGAACAGACATCAAACTCTCAAAAAAAAAACTGCCATGTATTTAGAAGTATTACCTGTGTAAACCAAATCAATGCATAACTTCTGTTTACATAATCAACAACTACTGGTTTAGTATAGCAGTCAAGTAAATGTCTGAAGAAAGCAGTCTTCTGGGATTTGGCACCGTGTATATGTGGTGTTAACCGACGTTTCGGAGGAACGTATCGCCCCCATCTTCAGGGTAGAAGAAAAAGTATAAGAAATCTGCAANTCTGTTCACCATGTAAAGTCATGCTTTATTCAGTTATAGTTAAATAGTCTCCCATTCCTGATTTACTGTCAATTGAAACATGCTTTGTGACTGAGTCAGCTGCTCTACAGGTGAGCTAAGCAAACTATAACACACCAAAGGAAAGGCGGCCGGTTGTAAACTACAATAGTTGTGTGATCGGTTTTACCCTCCTTTCATGCATGCATATGCAGAACAATATCATCTTACAAATTACTATTATTATACTAAATAAATAATGAGATTCACTGTTGCTATTGAAAACGCAAGTAACATATGAAACCGTCAGTTAAATAAAATCTTAGAATTTACACATCGATTTCAAATTGACTAAATGAAAGTGGTGAATATGCCACTGAAATTACGTACATTCAACAGATAATGTCACTGTTATGTCCTTTTATGTGTTGCTAGCATTCACAAAATCCAATGTACAGTCACATACAGTACACAACGATTTGAACGTCCTCTTAAGTTGGAATTAATTTAAAATATCCAGCATTACTTCATAAATTGCCTCATCCATTGAACCTCATACAGACTCTACCCTTTACTTGCGCTACATTACACAGACTGTTCTTTTCTGTCCAGTTTTATCACACCTGAAACATACTATACCACCGCTTTAACCTCAAGCGAATGAACTTTCGTGCACCCGGAGTTCCATACCCGTTCACACCGTTATTTTCAATTGCGCTGCTTCTGCTGCCCTCTGATCGGCATACCCGGCATAGCGTAGATAGGTGAACAAAAGTAACACATGTAGCGGTACGAGTACAAACTCGTGAATCTCGTGTACCGTTGTGCGCATATGGTTGAACTAGTTTGTTTTGGTGGAAATGATAACAGCTGTTGAAATATTGAATTCAGTTGTAAGTTGTTTTGTTTGGTACCTGGATAATACTACTAAGCAGGGTTAAGAATGCCTAGAATATTGTCTATCCTCCGAATTTCTATTTACACATTTTGAGACAGTCACAAGTACTGCTAATATATTTTCCAATTCGTTCGCAGACAAAATTGATAATGATTGGAATGTTATTTGTATTGTTGTAATATGTAAGATTCATTCAGGCGATAGAAGCACATCGTGGAAGATGCATGAAAATAAGATTTATGCGGAGAATTTATTACTTGTGTCCACTGTTATTTGTAAGTTTAAAAAATGGGCATATCTTTTCCATGTTCGTGTTATGTTTATGAATGCTTGTCCTAATAATATTTCCGCTTTGCTTGCAGATGGTGTTGGGTATCCTAAGATCAAACCTACATCTTTCATGAAGTAATTTTTTGAGGCCATATGGATGTATCTGTTATACAGAACTTTCTTAGCGAGTTGAATGAACATTTATCCAACTTCAGCTACATAAATGGTTTTCTACCAACACAGGCAGACTGTTACATATATAGACTGTTGTCTTCTCAGTTTCCTGCTCCACAGAACTTACCACATGTCCTTCGTTGGTATAAGCATATTCAAAGCTTTAGACAAGTAGAACAAGACAAGTTCCCAAAACACTTGGACCACTACTGGACCCCAACCTCATTCACAAAATTAGTGGAGGTGGGAGTCTGATCATACGAAAGTTACAATATGAAGCTTATTAAGAGATACATAAAGATACCTTAATTCTTTGTTATTTGCCTTTCAGGAGATAAGCACCATGGCTCCAAGTGGTGATACTCTGTCATGGAAAGATAAATATGCTCTTATTTCACGTAATCTGCAAGAGGTACTCGGGGAGGACAAGATGATAGCATTGCTAAAGGAACGAGACCTAAAAATCTACTGGGGGACAGCTACAACTGGAAAGCCTCATGTAGCATACTTTGTGCCAATGGCCAAAATAGCAGACTTTCTGAGAGCAAAGTGTGAGGTAAGCTAAGTAAATTTGCAGTGACTCTCAGATATATACATATACAAGGTGTTTCACGACTTTAGGGCATAACTGCAGGAGTCATTTCCTAGGTCTCTGTGATCAGAAAATTCATATAAACATGTGTCCGATTTTGGACGGTTACGGAGTTAGGACCATTTTTTAATTCTCGGTCACACCCTTGTGTGAACCGCGTCTTGTCAGCTGGTGGGTCGCTATTTTTAGCCAGCTACAGATAGAGCATTCTCGTTATCTCGACGCTTGAGATGTACCTAAGGCGGGGAGGTTTGGTATGTCTGGCGCAATTCACAACCGAGCGGCAGCCTGTGTTGCGGCCAGAGGTGGCATTTTCGAAAATCAGCTTTAAGCACCAATAAATTCAAATTAAAGGTAATTTCACGAAGTTATCTTTACATTCATACTTTAAATGTATCATGTATTATGCTGTTTTATTATTTTGTTCCGTTTATTGTCAGTAATCGTTACCTTCTATTCTGAGTTTAAAACGGTCATAACTCCGTAACCGTCCAAAATCGGACACATGTTTATATGAACATTTTTGATCACAAAGACCTAGGAAATTACCTCCTGCAGTTATTCCCTAAAGTTGTGAAACACTCTGTATATAAGAATTATATCAAGCATTATCATGTAACATGAAGGATGTTCTTGCATGTTGGAATAATGAAGTAATAACCCTACTGCCTTGCTTTGTGATGTCAAGCCACCATTTCAATGCCAGATTTTGTATATCCTGGCACAGTGTAAATGTGGGCTGCTGTTGCTTACATTTCAGGCGGTTGGTTATGCAGTTCACATGGTTCCATGACTCAAGAACAGGAAGTACTAATAGTACAGAAGTTTTATTGATCCATAATTTATCGATATTGTGACATGACGGCTGAAAGCCAGAATGGCGGAATGAGTAGAGAAAATCATTGCTATGCTGTGGCATGCTAAACACATTTCTGTGGCAACAGACACTAATGCAACAGTACAGGATACAGTGTTTTCCATGTGATCCAAGCCAAGGCTATATAATGAGGATCAACAGCAGCACTCAGCAAAATACGGTCATGAGCCCTGTGGCACTGGAGACTGAGATTGACTGTTGGTGAGGTCCGGCAGTTCTTTATGCAACCGACTGAATTGGAGTCATGAGTTGCGAGTGAGCAGTGGTTGAAGTGATTTGTAGAGTGTGTACTTTAGTGAGACCTTTACAGTCATTTGTAGTTACAAGTTGCAAGTATCAAATAAATACAGTTAATCAATCCAAACCTGTTTCTTCAGCAGCCATGTGACAACTGATGTCTCAAGTGGGGTTTGATTGAATTGAATTGTTGGGTTGGAACCCATGTGATGAATGATCTTGGTAGACTTGGAACATCTGGTAGCCATCATGGAAAGGCTGGAATCCAAGACAGGCCAGTTAAGAAAAGATGGAGGTCATTGAAGAAAATATGAGGGCCATTCAAGAAGAAATAGAGGCTAAGTTGGACACTACCATGAGCAGTGGCCAGAATGTGATGGGAGGCCAAGGTGGATGCCACCATGAGCATTGGCCAAGAACCGATGGAGGCCTGTCAAGAAAAGATGGCAGCCAGTCAAGAGATGTGGCTCAAATTTAAGCTGGCCAAGACGAAATTAAAGGTGGCCTGAAAGAAAGGAAGGCCACAATGAGTGCCAGGGAGACTGCAGTAAACTCCATTCAGTCAGAACTGGAAGTGACCATCAAAAATCAGGTGGAACATGTCCTGGAATCTGTCAACCAAAGGATCCAGACCTGAGCAAGGAACTGAATGTGAAGATCGAAGAAACACAGTTGGACTTACAGGCAGTCAGTTCATTCGATGATACACTGACCAAGAGCCTCTACAAAGAGAGAGGGGACACGAAGAAGGACTTCCACTAGGAGCTCAACTTCAGGATCCAAGGAACACGAGTTGCTATAGAAACCACATGGCATGTGTTCAAAATGCAGTTAGCAGAAGTCAAAGCCCAAGCTGAGCATGGATCTTGCAGAACAGGAACCCGCCTAAGCATGATGCAATTGCCTAATTTTGATGGATTTAAATCATGTGCCTTGTTCTGACTGCAGTTTTAGACCGTGTTGTAGCTCAACTACTGGATGCCCTGCAAGAAAGCCAAATACCAGATTGTCACCTCAATTAACTTAGCTGCTCACATTCCTCATGGCGCCCCAATTGGAGTGACATACTAATAGGTTACTTAGGTGGCCAGCAGAGCAAGAGAGACAGGGAAATTGTAACTGAAGATCTTGACATGAGGAAGGTGTGCACGAAAATGATCCCAAAGAACCTGTTGACATGGCACTGTCTGTGAGGGAGTTTTTTGTTAGTAAACAAATAACTGTGCTGGAACACCGTCCCTATTCACTGGATCTGGCCTCCAGTTACTTTTTTCTGTTCCTGAAGATAAGGGAAATTTTGAAAGGAAGGCATTTTGATGACAGTAGTGACATCAGGAGTAATATGGCAGCAGCTATGAAGGCTGTTCCACAAAACCAGTTTCAAAATTGTTTTGAAGGGTGGGCTAGACGCTGACATCGGTGCATAGCTTCCCAAAGGGAGTACTTTGATGGTGACCAAAGTGGTGTTCAGCGATGAGGCATGTAGCAGTCTTACCTCGATGAGTTCGCGAACTTTATTGTCAGACCATGTAGACAACCTTCTTATGAGCATCAATTAGAGTTTCTGTGTTTTCTTTAGGGTATCTATGTTATCTATCACCCAGTAGATTCACATCATCAACATAGACCAGCAGTTGATGTGTCCCATTTAATTCCAGTCCCCTCTGGTTTTCCTGGCCCTTCAAAATAGCATATTCTAAAACAAATCTGGAAAGCAGTGACAATAAAATATCTGCCTGTTTTAGATCATTCTGGATAGGAAAATTATCGGACAAATGTTCACCTGTATGGACTTTACTATATGTTTCGTTTAAACACATTTTAATCAGCCTAACTAGTTTCTGTATTAGAATATTGTACAATACTTCCCTCCTAACTGAATCATAGGCTTTCTTGAAATCTATGAATAGCTGATGTACTGTCTCATTGTATTACCATTTTTTCTCCAGTACCAGAAGATTGCAAAAGATCTTATCAGTAGTTGATCAGTTACATCCGAACCCACACTGATGATCCCCAATAATTTCATCTATGTATGGACTCAACCTTGAGAGAAGAATGTTGGAAGTTTTGTATGAAGTTCACAGCAGTGTTATCCCATGATAATTACTACAATCCGTTTTATTGCCCTTTTTGTAAAGTGGTACAAAAACAGACTCCTTCCACTGATCAGGCAGTTCTTCCTTATACCAGGTTATGTTAGGTGTGGAGGTGATACGTTCCTCCGAAACATCGGTTAACACGATATCTACATGGCGCCACATCCCAGAAGACTGATTTCTTCAGTTAAATTGATGTTAAATATTTTAATGTTTAGCTCTGAGTTCTAAGTTTTCCTTCTTGAGACTGTGAGGTCTCCACACTGTTTTTCAAGTTCTTGGTGTATTAAGCAGTGTGTATCGGTTTAATTGGATTTTTACAGCATTGAATAATGGGATCATCATGAATGGGGAACTATAGAGAGAGAATTGACTGTGGCATTTTTTAAGGTATCATCGCAGCATTTGCCTGGAGTGACTGGGGAAGATAAAGATCCCCTCCCCATCCCCTAAAATAGATGGTCTCCTCACTGAGATTTGAACCCATAACCTTCCAAAATATGAAGCACGAATGCTAATTTGAACTTCATTGCCCTCAGTTCACCGTGATTCAGGTGTTTACTTTTCTTAGTGTCATCTTTTCCCCCTGCCCTACAAAAGGTGATTTCAATTTCAGGTGACAGTGTTGTTTGCAGACTTACATGCCTACCTGGACAACATGAAAGCGCCTTGGGAATTATTGGCACTACGATCAGAGTACTACGAACAAGTCATTAAGGCTATGTTGCATTCTATTGGTGTTCCACTAGAAAAGTTGAAGTTTGTAAAAGGAACAGATTATGAACTATCCAGGTTATTCATATACATAGACTATCATATAAGTATGTCTGTTATGAAGTTGTGTCATCAGATGTATGTTAAGAAATAAGGTAGCCTAATTGCATTACAGACTTAGTCTAAAAGTAACTGCAGTTGAAGCAAAGTGTACATATACTCATGTTTTGACACTAGAATGCAAGACAAAATTGTAATATATGTAGCTAGCTAATAAATCCTTTAAACATATAGCATGAAAATGTATGCTTTTATAGGTTGTAATACTGTGTAATCTGGTATAAGTCCATCACATTTCAGAGGAATATACCAAATAGTGAGCCAAGCAGAAATTTTTGATAAGCAGGTATGCTTGGTTTTTGCTGGGCTGGGCTTTCAAGTGCATATTGCTGGCTTCTTGCCTGGCTTACTCTTTGGTCTAGGAAATGGTAGCAGTGAATGGACTTCTACCGAGCTGCACAGTGTTACAACTCAGAAGGTCATACTGTTCATAGTCACTTCTGTGAACCTCAGATTCAAATAAAATATGGCAAAGTTCAGATATGTGGGAATGATCAGGCTTGTGTTCATGTTAAAATTAATGGCAAATTAAATGTGAGGAGTGTTTGCTACCTTTTTTTTCCAAGTAGGTTCCTTCCCACCTGCTGGCTAAAAACATAAAGATTAAAATATACTGTAATGCCCTAGCGGCGCAGGGGGGGAATGGAGGTATCCATCCCGCTGCTGCCGCCGCTGTAGTGCCGTGGTACAGGGGGGCGTGGAGTCAGCCCGCCTCTGTCACCACTGTAACTCCGCATGTAGGGGCCGTGGAGGTATCCTTCCTCGCCTCCACTAGTTACGTCGTAAACTGGTACTCCTGGTAACGTCGCGCCGTCGGGGGCGTGCAGGTACCCCTCCTTGCCTCCACTGGTTATGCTGTAAGGCGTTAATGCAACCATCCTAGCTTACCCTTAGCTAGGATTCTCCTATATCGGAGTTTCCTTCTGTCATACAAGCTGCCACCATCTATTTTCTGTTCTTTCAATTGTTGGTACTACTCCCTGACATGTAGTCATAGCTCT